CCCCCTCCCCCCGCATTGTGCTGCGTTACACCGGCCTTCAGGCTAAAGTCTGCTGTTTGAAACTTTGAACATTTAATATTTTCACATTATGCACACATTGTTTTTGCATATGGAGCTGCTGTTGCTCATCACGTTGTTTTAGCTTTACAGTTAGTGGCGTCGTCAGCTTCACATCGTTTCAGTGAGTTTCTCAGCGTTCCTTTGGGTTATTGTTTTTAGTTTATTTCTTTAAACCTTGAATTAAAATGAAGAAAGGTTCTAAAAAGTCTTATAGTTGCCCACATTTTCCTGTCGATATTAATTTCAGTTTTCCTGCATGAAAAGAAAGTAATGTAGGCTTAATACTAACTTGAAAGCCAAAACATTTGTGACCTTATTTTGACTTTTTCATTGTCTTAAAATGCTCTCTAAGAAGTACTGATTTTCACTGCTAAACATAATCTGTAACCATGGTGATTCAGATTAGCTCTTCAGAGTGTGAACACAGCTTCATACCCCAACAGTCAGAACTCCTCTGAAATGGATTACTCGCATTTCTTGCTGTATCAAACTGTTTTTCCGTGTCACATATTGAAGGGAGATGTAACAGCGGAGTAATTGAGTTCGGCTCGATAATTTATGCTAGATTCGGATTGGTTCATTTATAAGGATAAATCATTGGCTAGGGGGGGATTGGGAGTGTGTGGCCTGTGGTCAATAAGACAAGACCAAATGAACTCATTAATCTATTTCAGAGTTGGGAAAGCAGAGAGAGTTTTCTAGTGTACAAATTGTATTCATATAGGCTGTGTATCCTAACACGAGTCATTAATAATCGGAAGATCTGAAGATCTGAAGATTTGACGGAATAATTATGTAGATCCATGCAGCGCAAAAGAGTGACATTTGATTTGATTTCACTTTGTCAGGGAAAACTTGTGAAATTTGTCTCGCATCCCAGGATGTGCACCGTCTCACATGAATAACAAAAACACAACAGCTGCTGTGTTCAGCTAGCCAGGTAGCGGAGCAGCCTGTTATTAGGTGGGCGGGGCTTTGTCGCTCTATTAAAGAATAGAGAAAAAAGATGGAGGATGAAGCAATGAGATGAGCTGCGTTTGCTGTTTGGAAGTCTTTAGGTTTTAAAAAGACAGAGAGATGGGGAGGTTTTTTGTTTTTTCTGAAAGGCCTAACCAGCTCCTCCACAAGTAGCAACAGGGAGCCAAGTGAGGTGGTGATCCAGTGTTACGCAACGCCAACAGGTGTGTCCCCCCATGACGTATTCCCAGCTCTGCAGTGGAAAATGTAGCCAAAAGGAGTGTCATGTTTAAGTGCAGTGAGAGGAAAAAGTGGCAATACAACTTATCTGAATTCATGTTTGCAGGATTAGTGTCTTTCACGTGTAATTTATTCATGGATTCATCAGCTTAGAAATCCACATTTTTGTAAGTTACATAGGCCTGAAGTGACTGCAGATAGATTGAGTATAGCCAGGCTTTAGATCTCTTTTTTTCTGGGCTTAAATCACTTAACATTGCCGACGCTACTGGGGATTTTATTAATTGGTTAAACATTGCAAGGATAAGTAATTTGCATTGTTGAGCACATTTCTTGTTCTTGCTTAACAAAGCAAAAAGAAAGCCTTCAGATGCAGCGAGGTTCATCTATTCCTGTGTTGTGGTGATCCCTCAGATTTGCATTCACTATAATAGGTTCTTATCCACCATATGTTCATGCCCAGTTTCCTTTATGTTGCTCTGCTACCGAATGTTTAATCCTTCATGGAAATCATGATTAATACTGGTCAGAGGTCAAATGTAGCAGATGATAGCATTTATCTCTGAACCTCTGCCAACTACGTAATTGACCCTGATGTCTGCTTGGCCGGGAGTGCCCTGAGAGCTTTGATTGATAATGGCGCTGCCACACATGTTGTCTTAAGTATTTCTTTTAATCTATTGTTTGCTCTCTGACTTTCCCTCTCAGCACGCCTACTTTATATGGCATCAAAAGTACAAGAGCATCTGTTTACAACAATGAAACGAGAGCCCTCGGTCAAACCAGCGCACCTGCTTTTCCAGTCAGTCAGTATCAGAAGGAAGGATTATCCGGGGTTAGCTGATTGGCTCATTGGCTAACAACTTGTCAATCACAAGCCGTTAGCTGATGACGTGCAGTTTATCAGTCAAAGCCACTCCTTGCTCATTAGATTCATTTTCAAAATACCAAGATGATGAGAGGAAAAACTCTCAGCTTCATAACTGGACTCCTCTAATCAGCGGTTAGGCCACAGTGGCTGTGCAGTAAATGAATCAAATCGTCCTGTTTATGAGGGGAAGCACATCAGAAAAAAAATATTCAGTGACAAAAGCTGAACTTTTTGTGTCCCGTTACATCTGGTGTAAAACTAACACAGGATTTCATAAATAGAACATCATACCAACATGGTGGTGGTAGTGTGATTGTCTGGGCCTGCTTAGCTGTTTTACCACCTGGACCACTTACAATGTGTCCGGCCTTCAGTTCACCGTCTGAAAATTTAAGAGCACTTGGGTTACGCAGGACGATGATGTGAAACACACCAGGCATCCACATCTGAATTGCCCAAAAAACACCAAAATGAAGGTTTTAAAGTGGACTAATCAAAGCCTGGACTTGGCACGACCTTTAACAGGCAATTCATGCATAAATTAAAACAATTCTGCAAATAAGATGTGAAAGACTCATCACCAGTTATCATAAAAACACTTGATTGCAGTTTTTGCTACCAAGGGTGGCACAACCAGTTATTAGGGTTAGGGGACAATTACTTTTCCACACAGGGCCAGGTAGATTTGGACAATTTTTTTCCCTAATTAATGAAAAAATCATTTAAAAACAGCATGATTGGAATTACTCAGGTTGTCTTTGTGTAAAATTTAAAATTTGTTTGGTAAAATAAAACAATAACAAACCAGGAAGAGGGCTAAATACTTTATCACACCACGTCGCTATGTCAAAATAGATTTGGATAGAACAGAATAGAATAGACCTTTATTGTCATTAGACATGTACAACGAAATTTGGATTACTTTGAAATGTTTGTCCCTGACAAGAAAATGTAATTCCTGACAAGTGGAATCTGTGTGCCTGTTTCTGTTTAGCAATGCTCGGAGTGAAGGGGACACTGAGGGTGTTATTTTGATGTAATTCAGCGCCTCACAGTGTGTTCTTACCCTGCTTCATTTGAAACCTTTACAGATGATCATTTAGATTGATTGAAGTGGATTTCTATAATATCAGTGGAGGAGAAGCTTCAGACAATATAGGAATGCTGCCGAGAAACGCAAATATGGCTATTTCGTTCTGTTTTGCCTATACTGTAAGTGGTTGGTAGTTAAAGAACACCTAACTAAGAAGCAGAGATTTACTTTGCAGACCTGCTGTATCAATTTATACTAATGGTTTCCTAATGTTATCCTTCCATTCAATCACACTAAATAGAATATGCTGAGAAAGAAAGGCTGTTAGGGACCCTTTCAGTTTTCCTCATTGAATTCAAAAAGATCCAAACTCTGCTCGAGATTTAAAATCTCAAACTTGCAGATGTAGCTTGTTTATTTTCCCCCTTCAGGGCCATTCAGAGATGCTGTAAGACCCTGAAGTCTTTGATGTAGGTTTTTCAAAGCGTCTGAGATTTAAGCGCTGATGTTGCGTTTTTGCAGTTCTGTCTGGCCAGCAGAATAAAAGTTTCTTGTTGGGCCAACACTAATCACATAATCCCTAGTTTATAATTTGGGATTACATTTGTCTGATATTTTTTGTGCAGGAGCCATTGTACGATGACGAATAGTCAGAATTTACTGAGATCTTATTGCTTCTTTAGGCAATAAATATCCCAGAAAGATATCTTTCTCCTCAGAGTCCTATATTGACTGCTAATCTAACAGAGTAAGTCTAGGCTTCCTTAGAAAGCAAATTTGCTCCCTCACCTCTGGCGCTCAGAGCAAGTGCTTCTCCGACAGCGCTGTCCTCCCAGGCTGTTTGTTAGCTAATAGCGAATGATGCTG